CAGAGTGCTCAGCATCGAGGCCGGTGCTGCTAGTTTAGATCTGTGTCTGGGGCGGGAGCTGAGGGAAATCCTGGCATTGCACCTGGGTGAGCAGGAGAAATGTGGATGCTGAGTAGCCAAAACCCCACGTACAGGCGCACCTCGTTTACTGCACTTCTCTTTGCTGTGCTTCACAGATGTTGAGTTTTTTACAGATCGAAGGCAAGATGCTCCACCAGCAAAAAGATGATGACTTGCTTTGTTGCAATACTCACTTGGTTGTGGTGGTGTGGGATAGAGCCCACAATATCCCCAAGTCGTAGCTATATCCTATATCTCTCTTCCCAAACGAATGGGGCAGAGCTTGCCAATCTTTCTGTACCAATGAATCACCTGGGAACCCTATTAAAGTGCAGAAGCTGATGAATTAGGTCAGAAGTGGGGCCCAAGATTCCTTATTTCTAACCGGTGAGTCGATGCTACTGGTCCAGGGACCACACTTTTAGTGACAAGGTTCTGTAGCTTCACAGCCCCATATGGGAGCCACTAGCCACGTGTGGCTATTGAGTACTCAGAATGTGACTCGTCTAAATTGAGATGTGCTGGTCTGGCTGGTGTGGCTCAGCGGTTGAGCATCGGCCTATGATCCAGGAGATTGTGGTTTGGTTCCCAGTCAGGGCACATGTCCAAGTTGTAGGCTTAACCCCCAGTAGGGGCCGTACGGGAGGCAGCCGATCAATGACTCATTGCTAATGTTTCTGTCTCTCTCTCCCTCTCCCTCCCTCTCTCTGCAATCAATAAAGACATATTCAGTAAATCAATAAATAAATAAGATGTGCTGTAATGTAAAACACACTGAATTTTGAAGACTTAATATGAAAAAAATTAAAATCTCATTAATAGTTTTTATATGGATGACCTGTTGAAATCATTTTAGATATATTGGGTTATATAAAATATATTAAAATTAATTTCACCTGTTTTTACTTTTTCAACATGACTACTAAAAACTTTAAAAATACATATGTATGTTTTTAAAAATTAAAAAAAAGCCCAGCTGGCGTGGCTCAGGCTCAGTAGTAGAGCATCCATCCATGAACCAGGAGATCTCAGTTCGATTCTAGGTCAGGGCACATGCCCGGGTTTCAGGCTCGATCCCCAGTAGGGGGCCATGCAGGAGGCAGTTGATCAACGACTCTCATCATTGATGTTTCTATCTCTCTCTCCCTCTCCCATCCTCTCTCTGAAATCAGTAAAAATATATTTTAAAAAAATTTAAAAACACGTATGTGGCTCACATATTTCTGCTGCACAGCGCTGTTCTAGAAGGAGGTAGCTCTTGAGGTGGATGAGACTGATATTCTTAAAACACCTTTTTTTTCACATGTGGATGCTCCATCAAAAAAGCCTAATATGGGCCAGCTGTACATACAGCTGTACATTTAAAAAATAAGGAAACCCTGCCAATTGTGACATGTATAGGCCTTGAAGACATTATGCTAAACGAAATAAGTCAGACAGAGAATGAGAAATACTGTATGATCTCACTTATATGTGGAATCTAAACAAACAAAAACCAAACTCAGAAAAAGAGATGTGGGTGGAAAGTGGAGGGATTGAATGAAGGTGGTCAGAAGATACACACTTTCAGTTATAAAATAAATCAGTATGGGGGATGTAATGTACAACATGGTAACTACAATTATCCCTGCTGTATGGTATATTTGAAAGTTGTAAAGGGAGTAGATCCTAAGAGTTCTCATCAGGGCAAAAAAATATTTTTTCTCCTCTTTTTTTTGATATCTGTATGAGATGATGGATGTTAGCTAGCGGTGATCATTTCACAATATATGTAAGTAAAGTCATTATGTTCTACACCTTAAACTTATATAGTGCTGTATGTTAATTATATCTCAGTAAAACTGGGAGGAAGTAAATTGGAAAATCAAGCTTTAACCATTGCATAAGCACTGAGGGGGGTTGGTTTTTACTTCATTTTTATGTTAAATTCTTTAAAAACATATCCTCTTGAGATAATTATTCACAGGAAGTTGCAAGAACAGTGCAGAGAAGTTCCTGGGCCTTTCACACAATTTCCCATAGTTATTAAACTAGTTATCTTCTATAACTATACCATAATATCAAAACCAGGAACTTGACATTGATATAATGCATCTGTGTAGTTCTTTGCCATTTTTATCATATGTGTAGATCTAACCACCACTAAAACCCAAACGCAGAACTATCACAACACCTCAAAGAGCTCCGCCTTGTGTGGTCCAGCGGTTGAGCATCAACCTGGGATCCAGGAGATCAGGGTTCGATTCCCGGTCAGGGGCGTGCAGGAGGCAGCCAATCAATGACTCATCACTGATGTTTCCATCTCTCTCTCCTCTCCCTTCCTCTCTCTGAAATCAATAAAAAGATACATTTAAAAAAAAAAAGATCTCCCTCGCCTACCTCTTTACAGCACACCCACTCCCTCAACCCCCACTCCCACCACCGACCATCCTGAACTCCTGACAACCACTATTCTCTTTTCCATCTCTATCATTCTGGTCATTTCACGTAGAATCTCATTTTGATTTATTTATGATGTTTGGAGAATATATGTATAGACATTTAGTAGGTGCTCTAGGTATCATCTTGTTTGTATATAACTCACCTAGTTGTGCCTGTCTTGACATTACCAGTTTTAGTAAGGTTCTGAAACTTGTCTTCCCTTTAAGTCCCTTTCCTCTCCCCTATTTATAACCGTCTTAAGTATTTTCTTTACAAAAAAAATACATGACAGGGGGAGCTGAACTGGACCTCGTGGGCTTTGATCTTTTGAGAGAGGAAATCGTGGGGAAGGCAGAGTTCCTCCTTCCGGGCAGCAGTCACTTCATTTCTCCTTTTTGTTTGTGCATTAGCTTGAAGCAGAAATTACCACTGTGCTTATCAACTTCCCTAAAATGTCCTGCACAATCACTAATCTTTTGCTTAAATCAACAGATATAATTTAGAAAACTTAAGAGAAGTAAAGCATAGTCTTCGCTTGTTTTTTTACTCGCTCATTCTTCCTTCTTGATGATCCAAAATTCTTTTCAAAATGTTTATATTGTGTCAAAACATTTCCTTTAGCTTTTTAATTTTTTTTGGTTCCCACTGATTTTTAGAGAGAGTGGAAAGGAGGGAGGGAGGTGACAGAGAGAGAGAGGAGAAACCCTGACTTGTTGTTCCATCAGTTTATGCATTTATTGGTTGATTCTCGTATGTGCCCTGACTGGGGATTGAATCCACAACCTTGGCGTATCAGGGCGCCGCCCTAACCCACTGAGCTACCCGGCCAGGGCTGCCTTCATTTCTTCTATTTGATTTTCACTGGATATAAGATTTTGAGTTAACATTTTTTCCTTTGAGCACTTTAAAAATATTGTGCCACTTCCTTCCTGCCTCCGTGACTTCTGATAAGCTATTTGGTATCATTTAAATTGTTTTTTCCATTATAGGGAAGGTGCCATTTCTCTCTGGCTGCTTTCAAGATTTTAAAAAAATATGTTTTTATTGTTTTTTTTAAGAGTGAGAGGAAGGGAGAGAGAGAAACATGGATGAGAGAGAAACCTCTATCGGCTGCCTCCTGCATGCCCTCTACTGGGGACCCAGCCCGAAACCTGGGCATGGGCCCCCGGGGAATCCAACCAGCGACCTCTTGGTACACCGGCTGACGCCACACCAGCCGGGCTCAAGATTATTGTTTTTGTCTTTAGTTTTCAGAAGTTTGACTATGATGTATCTTGGCATGGATTTCTTTGAGTTACCCTGTTTTAGATTTGATCAAATTCTTGAGTCTGTGGGTGTATGTCTGCCATATTTGGAAAATTTTCAGCTCAACTTATTTGAATTCTTTTTAAGCTCCACCGTTTTTCTCCTCTCCTTTTAGAACTCAGGTGACACAAATATTGTATCTTTCCTTACAGTCCCAAGTACTCCCGAGACTCTTAATTTTTTCCAGGCTAGTCTCTGTGTTTAGTTTGGGTGATTTATATTACTTAGTCTTCAAGTTCATTGATTCCTTCCTCTGTCCTCTCGACCCAGTGAGCTTTTTATTTTAGTTGGGCTTTTTTTTTTTTCCCCCCTAGTTCTAAAATTTCAATTTAATTCTTCATCTGTCTTTCTCTGCTGAGACTATTTTCATTTGTTTCAAGTATGTTTATAACTGTTTATTAAAGCATTTTTGCACTGGCTGCTTTAAAACCCTTGTCAGATAATTCAATGTCTGTGTCATCTTGGTGTTAGTACCTGTCAATTGTATCTTCTCACTCAAGTTGAGATTTTCCCGGTTCTTGATATGAAGAGTGATTTTCAATCCTGGATACTTTTAAAAAATATATCTTTTTGTTGATTTTAGAGAGAGAAGAAGGGAGAGGGAAAGAGAGAAACATCCATCTGTTGCCCTGATGGGGCATCAAACTGGTGATCTTACGGTGCACAGGACGATGCTCGACCAACCGAGATACACAGGCCAGATACACAGGACATTTTGAGTACTGTTATGAAGCTCTGAATCTTACCTAAATCTTCTGTTTTCACAGGCCTTCTCTGACACCACTCCTTAATGATTAGTGATGGTGAGCATTTTTTCACATACTTACTAATCATTTGTATATCTTCTTTGGAGAACTGTTTATTCAAGTCCCTTGCCTATTTTTCAGTTGGGTTGTTTGGTTTTGGGTTATATATAGTTCTCTATATATTCTGGGTAATGATCAGATATGTGACCAAAAAAGGTATTTTTATAATTGGTCTCTTTGAACCAGGATCCAAAGAAGTCTCACAGTATTAATATGTTCTCTTGTCCAATCTGGAATAAATCCCTCTCAAGGTTTCTTTTCCATTACTGACTTTGTTGGTCCAGCCTTCAGGAAACCCCTGCCAAACCCACAGGAACCTACCCTATAGGCCAGTTTCTTACCCAGGAGAGCCCCATCCCAGGTTACCACTTTCAAACTCCTTCCAGACACAAATGAAACCCACTGTTCTCAAAGTAGAAAACTCTTTATTATAAACCCAAGATACAGGAGAAATGACACAGGCATTTCTCAGCTCTTTGAAATTCTCACAATGCATACAAAATAGGTGTGAGATACTTTCTTGAAATTGTCTTAAAAATACTCCCTAGTATCAAAGCGGGGATAGGTGCATGGTAGCTAAGTGCTCCATTAAGATTGTGCAGAGAGGGGCCTTCAGTCCCTCCCCAGGCCCCAAGGAAAGGTACCTCACACCAGCCCTGCTGGATGTGGAGCAGAGACATGCATTTTCTATTAGATTTAGGGTCCTGGTATCTGCTCTGGGACAGAGACCTGAGAACATGGTATTTTCTCCCCAAAGGAGAGCTTGAGGTTAACTAATGTACAAATCCCCCAGAGAGGGAGAGGGGAAAACAGCTGTCTGCTGCTGACTTGCTCTGTGAGATCAAGCAGCTCTTTTCCCTGCGCATAGCTTCACTGAAGGTGTAAATGCTGGCATATCAGGTCCTTTCTAGAGGCTGGTTTCAATGAAGTGGGAAAAAAGAGAAAAGGAATACAAGAGGGTTCCATTTTTGTCCACGGTTAGACCCCCCACAATGGTGGGACTATCTCACCCGGCCGTACCTGGGAGCTATAGCTATACCCAGGGAAATGTATGGATGGAGGTGCACATGTGCGCATGCATATGTGCGTGTGTGTACGTGTGTCCATGTGCCCACAAGCTCTGGGGCAGGAGGCTCTTACATGGTCCTGGTTTGTAAACTAGTCCCAGCAAGCAACTTTGTAAGGCAATCAAGGTACAGAAAGTTGGTGGGAAAGCTCTCTGTGGGTGGCCCAGGGAGGAAGGTTTCTTGCTTACCCCGCCATGGGGACCCAGCCTCAGAACCCAAACTCGGTGGATCCCATCCCGTGTCAGGCAGAGCCGAGGGTGTGACCATAAGCACCCTGACGGGTTGACATGTAAAGCAGCCCCAACCGCTTAGAGGACTTGTCACATTGAAACCGGGAAAGGGCTGGGAGGAATCCAAGAGGAAGGCAGAGGTGAATCCATGGGGAAATCAGACTCAAAGGTGGGATCTCCCTGTGCTAAGCCACTATCTACCCTGGGGGCAGGAGGAAGTGGGATGTGAGGTGGGCAATGAGTAGGCACCATTGTGGAAGCAGCTGCCCTGGCAGTGCCGGGCCCCAGCAGCCAACTCTCTCTCACCAAGATCTGTCTCCCCCGGGAGACCCAGAACAACGCTTTACCATTTCCCACAGTGATTCAAACACGGCTACTGCCTGTTCTCCCCACCCTGCTCAGTTCTCAGTTAGGGAAACTGAGGTCTAAGATGTGTGGATGGGTCAGAGATGGCTCCTCTGGTCCTCCTCGCAGTTCCAGCTGGCACATCCACTCACAGCCATTGGTTCCACACAGAACATGAGATGTGATGTCCAGAAATGTCCAGTGGCTGCAGATGTGTCTGTGGAGTTGGCACCTCAAGGAATCCCCCTACAACCGCAGTGGGAGGCAGGGGCAGAAGTACAAATACAGGCAGACAGACACACGTACACCCAGGGTCCCAGGTCAGTCTTCAGGGCAGGGACAGGGCTTTGGCGAGGCGAGTCCAGAACCAGGACTTGGTGCAGGGGTTGGTGTAGTCACAGACAGTGATGAACCGCAGGATGCTGGGGAACTCTTTCTTCATTGCTTTGTATTTGACGGGGATCAGTCGCTTCTGATGAGCACCTACAAGCCAAGGGGTGTAGAGCTGGCACCAGGCCTTTGTCCCACAGTGGGTGGGACCAGTCCCTAGCCCAGGATTAACAACAGCCCTCTCCCAACTAAGCATCCCTGGAACACATTCAGCCACACAGAAGGTACTCAGGTGTGCAGTGACCTGCAGGATTTCCTTGATATTGCACCCATGGTCCTTGGTGAGGAAAGGCTGGCATCCTGAAGCCCCACCCATCTATTCTTCTGTAGCAAGGGAAGGACTGAGCTTACCTGGAGAGAGGCTGAGTGCAAACTTAGTCTGGAAGTCACATTCCTTGCTTTCCAGGTAATCATCTGAGACAACTACCACCATCCGGCGGCACCTAGGGAAGAGTGGGCAGGTTGTAGGCACTGTGGAGACACAGTTCAGCATACTCCCAAGGGATGGCCTTGGGAGGAGCCCACTGTGCCCAGGCTAGACAGGGCCCAGCTGGGAAAATCCCAGCATCTGGATCCCTGGGCAGGGCTTTGTGTACCCACCCACTCGCCCCCTGGCCACTAGCCAACCTCTTCTCAATGAGCTCACTGGCAATAGAACAGACACAGGTGCCAGGCAGGACATCACGGTCTGAAACACACAACTTCAGCCGGTAGTTTGTCTGTTCCAGCTGCTGGATCATCTCCTGTACAAACTGGATGTCGCTGGAGCAGTAGCAGATAAAGGCATCAAATCGCTCAGGCATTTGCCCTGGGTGCAGAGAATAAGGGTGATGGTCAGAGTTCTGTTGGAAGGCTGGGGAGAAGCCCAGCCAGGAGCCCCCAGTGCAGATGACCCTGGTCCTGGACCCCACACCAACCCTGAGATGACACTAAAAAAAGTGCTCTTCCCAGGAGAGGAAAGATGAGCACCTCCCCACCACCCTCGGCCTGGGCCAAGCCCTGGGTTGAACATGAGACAGACACATCATTTCATGAGTTTCATACCCACTCAGAGGCAGGACTATTATTATTCCCATTTCTCAGGTGAAGAAACAGGCTTAGAGATATTAAGTGACTTGCCCAAAGTGCCACAGCCCATCTGCTTTCAACAATCATGCTCTAAACACCACAATGTCCCACCTGGATCAGTATTAGGCCCTTACCCATGGGGTCATCGAGTGTGGTGATGCCCGCCAGCTCTGCCGTCCGTGGGACGCTGCTGTCCACAGCAGCCACCTGTAAGGGCTTCTCAGACTCCTCCTGCTGTTGCTTCAGAATATACTTTTGGCAGTCCTCCTCTGTGGGGAAGAGACAGAGTGTGGCAGGCTCCCCAGGGGTGCCCCATGCCTCTATCCACAGTCAGGCTCCAGCCCCGGTCCCACCTCCCTGGCCATGTTGGGCTCTAGGGTCTCTCCAGCTGACTGGTGCCACCCGCTGTTGGGACAGCTCTGAAAAGTTGAGCTCCCAGCTGGCTCTGACCATTCCAAAGGGATGTCATTGGTGTCCTAGCCATTTGGAAAGCCATCAAGGTCAGGTTTGTATCTTTCTATGCTTTTGCCCTAACACCCTTTCCTAGGGCCCCGGAGAATAGAACCCAAGGTCTGCTTCTAAAAGCCACAGCTAATGTGAGGGGGGGGGGGCATGCAAGAAGGGCCCAGGGACCCAGTGGTTCTGTGCAGGGAGGCCAGAGGCTCCAACCAAGCAAGGTGCGCCTGTCTGTGGGCAACTGTCCCCATGCCTATGCAGGAAGCGGCGCATTTCCTAGGCACCTGAGGTTTCCAAGGCTGTCAGGTTTCAGTCCCTCACCTGCCCTGTCGCTCTACCTGAAGCGACCCAGACACCCGCACAGAGGACCCGATTCTGACTCCTGGTCCTAACGCAAAGCCTTTGCCGTTCCCCTTCGTTCTCCGTGTCGCCGGGCCTCCCCCTCCCTTCTCTGGTCGCTCCCACGCTCGGTACCGCAAGAGGGAACGGTCCGGCACGGCTCCCCCCTGCAGGCTGCCCCCCCTCTCTACGCCCGGGGGCGGGGGCCTGGCCGGGGCGCGCCCGCCGAGGCC